CGCGACCCACCCCGCGACCCACCCAAAATTTTCGGCGCTTGGGCGGGTTTCTTTCGCAGTCGTTCGAGGTGGAGAACCTGCGACCCACCCGCGACCCAAACCGCGCCCGCGACCCACCCGCGACCCACCGCGACCCACCCGCGACCAACCCCGCGACCCACCTCAAATTTTCGGCTCCTGCGGCGGGTTTCTTTTGCATTCGTTCCAGGTGGAAAACCTGCAACCCACCCGCGACCCAAACCGCGTTCAGTGTACAAATCAAAATTTGTGGCGCCTGCGGCGGGCTGTTTTTGAAGTCCTTCTGGGTGGAGGTGGAGAGGCCGCGACCCACCCGCGACCCACCGTCGACCCACGCGCGACCCACCACCCACATTGTTTTAACAAAAAATCGGCGCCTGCGGCGGGCTCGTTGCATAGCTTGAACATTTTGCGCCTGCGGCGGGCTGCTTCAGAGCCTCGCAGACTGCAAACGTCCCCATCACCCCATCACTCTTATCCGCAACTGCGGGGGGCTAACTGCGGGGGGCTACGATATACAAATCAAACTCGTGCGCTGGTAAAATCTGGATCTTGATCGGGACCCACACGGCTACCTTGAATTCGCCATTGCCAAAGATGGCGGGTGTGAGATCATGTTTGTCCGCTGCGCGCTTGCCCACCATCCGTATCAAAGGACAATGCGAAGTGACTGTGGGTGCGCACGCCATGTGCCATGCTGACAACCCCGTCGCCCTTTTGCAACGGTCTTTGGCAGGGACGGCGGGGGGCCGACATGGTCGACATGTTGCCCGACGAGTGCTGTATGGCGCACCTGCGCCGCCTGACACACTCTGCGCGCGTCGCGCCCCTGCCGCGTTTGGAGCATGTGGCACACCTGGCGCAAGTGGCGCGCTGGGCGTACTTAGGCCCCTGGGTCGCTTGGTGTACTCAGCGTGCGCGGCGCACATCGAGAGCGCCGTGCACCTCGCGCCGGTGTTGGCTCTCTTTTCGGTGGCTGCCCGTCCGATGGCGACCTCTGCCCGTGCTAAGTCTCGGGCGCTCTTTATATTAGTGATTTCACTTTGGTTCTTGAAGGTTTTCGCCTTGTCGGAAGCGTTCGGAAGAGTCTCCTGGGGCCCTCTGGAGGCTTTGTGGGGCCTGTGGGAGGACTTGGGGCTTATAGCAATAAGACTCTTGGGGACCTTTGGGAGCCTGTTGGGCTGTCTTGAGGGCCTCGGGGAACGTTGGGGGGGCCTCTTAGGGCCTCTTGGAAGCCTCTTGGAGAACTGTTGGTGGCCTCTTGGGGGCGTCTTGGTGTGTCGGAGCCTCTTGGGGTCATTTTTGGGGCGTCTTGTGGCCTCCTTGGAGCCTTTACGGCGCTATCTTGAATCCTCCGCAGCTCATCGGAAGCGGGAAGGCGAAAAAGCAAACATCAGTGATCCCCCTTAGCTTTTTGAAGGTTTTTGCTTTGCCCGAAGCTTTCGGGAGAGTCTCCTGGGGCCCTCTGGGACCATGTGGGAAGTCTCTTGAAGCATTTTCAGGGTCTCTTGGTCCGTCTGAGAGCCCTCCAAGCCGCCTCGGGGATGCCTCGGGGCGGTAGAGGGCCGCCTTGACGACAATCAGATCGCCCTCTGGGGTGAATTTGGGTCCCCCGGGAAGCTGGCCTGGCCCCTAGCACACACACACACACGCGCGCACACGCACGCACGCACGCACACGCACGCACGCACACACACACACACACACACGCACACATACACACACACACGCACGCACACACCCTCACACACACTCACACACCACACGCACACACACACGCACTCACGCACGCACGCACGCACACCCACACACTCACACACACACACCCACACATGCACCCACACACACACCCACACACACCCACACGCCCACACACTTACAGGCACGCACACACACGCGCTCACACAAACACACACACACGCACACGCACACACGCACACACGCTCACATGCACACGCGCACACACACCCACCCACCCACACACACGCACACGCGCACACACGCTCACACGCACACGCGCACACGCACCCACACACTCACACACTCTCGCGCACGCACACACAAACGCACACACACACACATACATAACCACACGCGGGCACACAAACACACAAACACACAACCCCACACCAACTACCTACACAACAACGCACACACACATAACCACACACAATCACACACACACACACCCACAACCACAACACAAACACACACACAACCATACAAACACACAAGCAAGCACACACACAAACACATACAAACACACACGCGCACACACACACACCCACGCACTCTCGCACGCACAAACACACAAAAACATAAACACATACACACGCACACACACACACACGCACACACACACGCACACGCAAACACACAAGCAAACACGAGCGCACACAAGCACACGCACAAACAAACTCATAGACACACCCACAAACACACAAACACACAAAAACACAGACATACAACCACACACAAACAACCATACACAAGCACACACGCACACACACACAAACTCGCAAACACACACGCGAACGCACACACATGCACGAACACAAACACACACAAACCACAATATCAGACACACACGCACGCCGCAAACACATGCACACACGCACAAAAACACACACACACACACACGCGCACGCATAGACGCACAAATGCACATACGCACACACGCGCACAAACACACAAGCACACAAACACACATGCACACACGCACCCGTGCACACGCACACATGCACACACGCACACACGGACACACGCACACACGCACACATGCACACACGCACACACGCACACACGCTCACGCGCACACGCGCGCACGCGCGCACGCGCACACGCGCACGCACAGGCGGAAGCGCACGCGCATGCGCACGCGCACGCACGCACGCACGCACGCACGCACCCACACACCCACACACCCACACACTTGCACACCAACACGCCCACACGCCCACACACCCACATTTTTTTGCGTCGCGGCTCTGCGCGCGGTGACAGGGCGGAGAAGGTCGTCAAGGAACGAACGCGCGCGCGACTGGGAATGCCCGAGGCCTGAGGGACATTTTTCAAGTCCCGCAGCGGCCGGCAACCGTCCGGGCGTAGCTGACGGGGGAAGCGGTGAAGGAAACGACTATTGAAGGTGCCATAACCCATCCGGGACTGACTGGCGGGGGGGGCGAATAAGCCACGCGCCCGCACGCCTGCGCGAACACGCACCAACACACCCGCACACTCACAGACCCGCACACCCACACACCCACACACCCACGGCCCCCGCCCCCACGCACACACACATACACACACACACACACCCGCACACGCCGCCACACATCCCCACTCATTCTCACCCACCCACACTCACACTCTCACTCATCCCCCTCCCACACACAAGCAACAAACACGCGCGCACGCACGCACGCACGCACACCAACCCACACACAAACAAACACAAACACAAACACAAACACAAACGCAAGCACAATTGCAATTCCAAACGCACACAACCTTAACACGACATAACATGGCGCACCGCACCACACCACACACGCACACGCACACGCACATGCACGCGCACACGCACCCGTGCACGCACACGCACACGCTTATAGATCGGCGGCGCAGAGGGGCCTCAGGTGCGGTCGGCAGGTGGAGGTGCCACTTGCGAGCGAGCTTAGTCGCACGCGCCATGATGAAAGAGCCTAGTCACGGCTATGTAGATTGGTTGTGAAAAGCGAGGCGCTGTAATGCCAAAGTGCAGCGGCCAAACAACCCGAGGAACATAAACTCGACGCGGGTAGTTTGAAGCGCGAGCAGCACTCTGGTGCTAATTGAAACCTCAAAGAGGCAGCAACACACAAAAACAACTATAAGGCTGCCAGAACAGCCAACCTGGTGGCAGTACATACACGCAGGGAACTGCTCGACAAAGCAACGCCACCGACCTTGCAGCGAACAAGTAACGGACTGAGCGACCGTGCAACAGGGTGCATGAGGTCGGCGTGATAAAGATAGATGATCACGCGGCCGAGGCTGGTTTGGCTGTGTACGAGCAAAAACAAAACCGAACGCGGACGACCGCGAGCAGCAACCGCGAAACGCGGCAGCGCAGATGGGTGGTGAACGGGGCGCGAGCATGGCCGAGCGTGCAATGCAGACGCTAAGGTTAACACCGCACACCCCAGCCGCAACCAGAGCCGCGAAGGACTACCGGCGCAGGTGAAAGCAAAGCCAGGCAAAATGGGGCACACCATCTAGGCCCCCCAAAAACTGGACGCATCGCCGCATCGGGGCGTCTCGGGGCCTCCCAGGGTGTCTTGGGGCCTCCTGAGGGCCTTTAAGCAGCGATCTTGAGGCCTCAGCAGCGTTTCGGAGGCGATAAGGCGAGAAGTCAGGATCCCCCTTGGGTTTTGAAGGTTTTTGCGTTGTCGGACGCGTTCGGGAGGGTCTCCTGGGGCCTTTTGGGGTTATCAAGAGCGTTTCTGTGGGCGACTTGAGGCTCTTTTAGACCGTCTGAAATCCTTGGAGGCCGTCTGGGGGGTGGCTCTGGGTCGTCCTGGGCCGCCTGGGCGGCTGTTCGATGGCTCTCCGGAGCGATGCTGGGCCGTTCAGAGGCGGGCCCGGCCCCCGGCACACGCACATTTGCGGTCGGGGTCCCGGCCCCAGGGCCCCTGGGCCCGGTCCCCCGCTATGTGTATAGGAAAGAGGGGTGGAAACATAACAGAAGAGAGACACTCAAACGTGAATACAGGGCAGAAAGAACGACAGACAGACAGACAGACAGACAGACAGACAGACAGACAGACAGACAGACAGACAGACAGACAGACAGACAGACAGACAGACAGACAGACAGAGAGGGTGAGAGCGAAAGAGAGAGAGAGAGAGAGAGAGAGAGAGAGAAAGAGAACAAGGAAATGGTAACATAACATACATATAATAAAGGGGATTGAAAGCACGGGTCGGCACGCGTGGCGCGCCTGTGCTCCTTCTTCTCTTTCCGCGGCTTCTTCTCCCTCGCCTTCTTCTCGTGCCTCCGTCGGCCAGGTTTCGCACGGCCAGGGTGCCCGTGGGATCAACGCCACGGCCATATCCTCCCCAGGCAATGAAACCACCGAGACCTCCAAGGGTGGGGGCCGCTCAGATGCGGTTGGAATAGACGGGGTTCGGATGATCGCATTGCATCGGCGATGCGCTGGAGACGCCAAGATCGAGCAGATCGAGCCCTCGATCGTGCTGCATTTCCGATGCATCGGCGATGCGGCGCGTCTCTGGGACCTCGTCTACTTGGACCTCACTTGGACGGCCTGGAAAGAGCCAGCCGACCTGGATATTCAGAGTGTTCTTGCCCATGGCGAGCAGAGAGTGCCGAGGATCGAAGGGAGGCTGCTCGGACGCTCTCAACTCTCTCAGGACCTCCAGGGGCACCCTTGCTGCCATGGCTGGGCGCAGCTCGAAAGACTGGCCGGGATGGACCCCAGGAGGGGCCCAGGGGCCGGTCTCGAGTGGGTCCGATTCGGGGGCACGGCGCGGGGGACGGTTCTTCCAAGACGGCACCCCGCCCCGCGGAAGCCTTCCTGCCTTGGACAGAAGAGGATCTTGCTGGAAGCCCCTGTCGAGAGGGGCAGGGCCCTTCCACGACACCCCTTGCCCGCCCGCCTGCTTCGTCCCTCTGGCTCTGGCCTCCCACCTGCGCCTTCGCCGTCTTCCGTATGCTTCTCGTTCCCTTTCCCACTCCCCGTCGCCGCGCAGCACAGACCACCGGGAGCCGGCGGCGCCGGCGCGATAGGCCAGAGGACCGGCGGACCTGGGGGACGCCTCCGAGAGGACCAGCACCCCCGCTTGCCTTCTCACGGGACCGCTTCCCATCGCCCTGCCACTGGCGCGCCGCCACTTCGAACTCTTTTTGTCGCAGCGGCGTGGGGGGACCACAACGCGTTGTAGAACTTGCTCGGCCAGGTGAACTGTTGAGGGAGGTGACTAGTTCAGGGGGAGAAACATCGAGCTGGAATCGGCGATACTTCGCCGATAGATCGGAGATGCGCCCCCGATAGCGCATCCGCACGCTCCTGGGTGGGGTGGGCCATCGGGCCCCCAATCGGCGACCAACGGGCGATTGGGGGTCCATGCGCCCCGCCCTGAGCCTGCTCCTGCTGACGTTGCCCCTGATGCATGGAACACCACACGGCCGCCACTTCGAGCTCCGGCGCGCCGCCTTGGCCAACCTCGGGGGCCCCTTGGGGGCGCCTGGAAGCCTCTTGGGGGCGCCTGGGGGCGCCTGGGGGCGCCTGGGAGCGCCTGGGAGCGCCTGAGGAGCGCCTGGGGAGCGCCTGGGGAGCGCTGGCGTCAACCTGGCCCTGTGCGAACTCGCTGCCGCTTCCGCCAGGCGCCCATCGGCGGAGCGGGCCGCCAACGGGGGGGTGGGGGGCAGGACGGAGGAGGGGAAAGGTGCGCATGGTGGCCCGAGGCATGTGTGCAGACGAGGGGGTGCGGTGCCAGCGGAGCGCGTGCGAGAAGAAGAGGTCAGGAGATCCGCCGCCATGATCCCCCCAGATTGCGGATAGATGCTGTTTCCCACATCGGACATGCGGGGAAGAACGAGCATCGGATCGAAATCAAACCCAAGGCCAGATCCAGCCTAATCCGGCCAAAGAGGACCCCAATCCTCCTTCGCCTCTTGGATGCCCCCAGCCGACTCTCGATCCCCCCCCCCCGCCGCCCCTCGGCTAGACCTCGCGCCGCGGGCTGCCCTCGTGCGGGCCCCTGGGGCCCTGGACGAGCCCCCAGAAGGCGCTCACGCCCTCGATCGCCCGCGCTGGCGTCGCCGCCGCGCCGAGGCTGCAGCGAAGCCTGCGGAAAGCAGCGCGCGAAGCCGTGGACTCCTCGAGCCGTCCGTGGCCACGAAGGGGCCCACCCGGACGCCCCAGGACGGGCCAGAAGGTTACCGCACGCGACGGGAAGGGCTACCTATCGAGGAACTACCCTGGCCACCCATCTGGCCAACCCCAACCAACGGGCGGGGGGGAGCGGGAGGACAGGAGGGAAGGGTGGAGGGGCCAGGAGGCGCGCCGTCCTCCTCCTAGCTGCGCTCAAGAGTTTAGGGCTGCAGTGCCCAGACGAAGCTCACCGTGTCTTGCGGCGCGGGGATCCGTACAAGTGGGTGCAGTGGCGACGGCAGCTCGACCAATTATTCGACCTTAACGACGAAGATTTACCTATACGACCACCCTTCGGGTGATAAGGAGGTTCCGGGGGGGGGGGAACCAAGGTCTCACTCGATCGGTCTCACTATCGATCTCAGTATCGATCTCACTATCGGTCTCGATCGATCGATCTCACTCGATCGATCTCACAATCGATATCACTCGATCTATCTCATTCGATCGATCTCACAATTGATATCACAATCGATCTCACAATCGATCACACAATCGATCTCACATTCGGTCTCAATATCGATCTCACCATCGATATCACAATCGCTCTGACAATCAACGTCATCATCATCAACATCATCAACATCAGCATCGTCACCAACATCGTCATCATCATGAGGGCACCATCATCATCATCATCATCATCATCATCATCATCATCATCATCATCATCATCATCATCATAAATATCATCATCAATGTCAGCATCATCATCGGGACAACATCATCATCATCACCATCATCATCACCATCAAAATCACCATCATCATCTCATCATCAACATCATCATCATCGAGACACAGTCATCGTCATCATCATCAGCATCATCGGAATCATCATCATAATCGGGGCACCATCATGATCGCCATCGTTCTCATCATCAACATGATCATAAACATCGTCATCATCCTCGGGACACCATCATCATCATGATCATCGCATCATCATCATCGACATCATCATCGACATCAACAAAATCGTCATCATCATCATCATTGGGGCACCATCATCACCATGAGCAACATCATCATCATCATCGTCATTATCATTATAATCATCATCGGGACACCATCAGCATCACCATCACCATCATCACCATCATCAGCATCATCAGCATCATCATCGGGACACCATAATCATCATCAATACCATCATCATCAAACACATTATCGCCGGGACACCATTTCCATCAACATCATCATCACCAACATCATCGGAATCATCATCATCATCGTGACACCATCATCGTCATCATTATCAACATAATCATCATGACCATCATCATCCTCATCATCGGGACACTATCATCATCATCGACACCATCATCAACATCATCATCATCATCATCATCTTCATCGGGACACCATCATCATCATCTTATCAACATCTTATCATCATCTTATTATCATCTTATCATCATCTTATCATCTTATCATCATCATCATCATCATCATCATCATCATCATCATCGCGGGACACCGCGGGACACCGGCGGGACACCGCGGGACACCGCGGGACACCGGCGGGACACCGCGGGCCACCGGCCGCCCGGAAGGGAGTCATTTGGGCCGGCCGCGCCTCAGCCACACGGGACACCAGCGGGACACCGGCGGGACACCGCGGGCCCCCGGCCGCCCGGAAGGGAGTCATTTGGTCCGGCCGCGCCTCAGCCACAGGAGACTTTCTCTCGCCCGCCCACGCAGCTTCGCCTCGCCCGCACGGCACGCACGAACACGAAACCGAAATCGATTTCCAGGTAGGGGGGCTCTCCGTTCCACTTCGATCTCACCCCCCAACCTCCGATCCCGATTTGTTGATTTTACCAAGAGGTCAGCTAGGCGCAGTCAGCAAAGGCGATCCAGAGATCGCTCAACGAATTTCGTGAGCAGTGGGTGCACTCCATCGGGCGATCAAAGAAACACCAATTCCCTCTGACACGCTCGAGGTGGGGCCGACAACGCTCATACATCCACGCGACATCTTAGAGAACAAGACCAAGCATTGGGAGCAGCTTTGGAGCCCTACTTCTGACGACTTCGATTTGCTCGTTGAGGTCTTCGGCGAGATACGAGATCGTGTTCGAGGCGAGGCGCTGGCACCGCTGGAGGTGGCGGACATCCGTGCGGCCCTGAAGCGGATGAAGCCTTCTTCTGCTATGGGGGTTGACAGGACATGCTGCCTCGACTACGGCAGGTTGCCTGACGCGGCCATCAACGAGCTGGCGGGCATCCTCACCCTCTGCGAGCTGCACCAGGTGTGGCCTCATCAAGTTCTTCTCGATGGCTGGAGACCGCGTGATAGGCCTGCTATCGCACTTGGCGCGCACGTGGTCTCAGGTCCGCGAGGAGCACGTCCGCACCTGGACGGACCAGTGCGAGGCGGACTGGGACGCAGCGGTGCGAGGCAATGCTGCGCTTCGAGAAGCTTTTCTTCGATCTGTCGACGAAGAGCTTGCGGTGCGTCTGGGTGCTTCCATCGGCAACAGTATGATTGACATCGCATGTTTTTATGATCCAGTTGGCTGGTATCGCATGGCGAAGGCTGCCCTGCGACTGGAGTTCCCGCCTGAGGTTTCAGGGCTTGAACTCCAGCAATGCATGGCAGCACGATGCGTGAGACAAGGTGGAGCCTACGGGCCGCCTTTCAGTCCCTCACGATCCATAGTGCAAGGATTGAAGTCTGGAGCGCGGTTCGGTAAATGTGCGGCATTCCATATCTTGCAGCGCATCATGACGTGTCACGTCAACATGTCTCACCGACTTTGGGTGGACGACTTCAGCCAGACAGTCAAAAGTTCACGGTGTGCAATCAAAGATCGCCTCGTTGCTTGCGTGGTGGACACATGCCGCGAGTTCACCCGGAACGGTTTGAAAGTCTCTCCCAAATCGGTGTTCGTCTGTACGCATTTTGCAGGCGCGAGGGCAGTAGTGAGACGAGTAGCTGCGAGAAGCTTCCAGGTGAAGGCGGCCAGCCAAGCCACATACTTGGGAGCTGATCTCGCAGGAGGCAGACGGCATGGGCGCATCCCCAGACGGGCGAGGGCACGCAAGCACGCCACCATGTCCAAAAAGATCGTAGGTTTCGCACGTGCGCTACGA